TTTTGTTCCAATATATTTAATCATGGAAAACTCATTTATTTTCTAGCGCTGTGCCAACCATTTGCACGTGAACAGGTTTAAATTGACAGTACTCCACCAAATCCTTCACTACATCCACTTTTGCTACTGCTCATAGTCACTGTTTCCCTTTGCAACTTCACTGTCATTTGTTTTAGAGATTTTTTGCCCCTTGAAATATTCACAGTGAGTTGGAGATTGTGTAGTATATGTGAAGATGCCATAATGCCACATATCCAGTCAGATTTGACTGTGTGAGACTTCCCTGAAAGTTCACGTACTTTGTATTTCCTCTGTTCCATTGTTTAAGCATAGTGTAGCATAAGATCCTAGTTGGTGGTAACCATGATAAAATAAAGCAAGATATTCTGAAAATCAACAACTGAAACTAAGCTTTGAAGTGGGTTGGCAAATTATGCTTACGGTTTGCATTTGCACCTGCATGGATGTCACACTGCATCATGGTTAAACTGAACTTTTTTTGGTAAACAAAATTTTATTTTTCCATCATAGGAATACAACAATTAATCATTGAACCCTTATTTAATGTCTTTGTTTACCCTATGGTTATTACTCTTTCCAGGCTTCCCGCAATGCATTCACCTCTTTTCCCCTCATATAGATTTCATCAGTTATTCACATCTTATTTCACATATCTAACTTCCAGATAACATCAAATTTCTTAATATTGTTCTAAACATAGTAAATTTTGTTTTACATCCCAGTTCTTTTCCAGATAAATTTTAAAGTCCTTCCATTCCTCAAAAAATTCTTCATCTTCTTTGTTATTTAATTTCTTTGTAATTTTGTCCATTTCTGCCATGAACAGAACTTTTTGTATCCAATCCTCAATCTCTGGTACTTTTTCTAGCTTCCAATATTGTGCATATATCATTCTTGCTGTCGTTATTAAGTACCAGAGTAAGGTTTTTTTGTCACATTAACTTCTTCCATCTGTAGTCCCAAAAGCAGAATTTCTGGTGCTTTTTTGAGAGAGCATTTTAATATTTTCTGTATTTCACTGTGGACTTTTGTCCAAAAATCCACAGCTTTTTCACAAGAACTCCACATATGGTAAAATGAGCCTTCATGTTTCTTACACTTCCAACACTTATTG